TTTGACTGCTAAACCTTCTCCCATGCTGCACTGACCCCAGTTATTTCTCAGAGCACTTGCTGGGCAAAACTCAGCACCTTCTGTGACTCCTTCAGAGGAGCACGTGTGCTCCTCAGCTGGCGGGGTGTGCGCGCTGCCTGACTGCCAGCTTTTGGCTAATGTCAAATGATCTTTATGCTTTGGATTTAACTTGTATTTCACGTGACTTCCTGGTTGCTACTCTTCTTTCTCAGTCTGGAAACACGCAGAGAACTTTGGGTAACAAATTTATTTCCTCTCTCTGCTTCAATTCAAGCCGTGGGTTCCCAGGTTGTTGGGGAAGGCTGGAGCTGAAGCATCTGACAGAAGAGTGTACTCCCTTTGCTTTATAAACCAAGCAAAAAAGATGATTAACCAAGCAGCCATTTATTTGTTCAAGACAGGAAGTGATGGTTGCAGCCTTGTATGTAAAGGTTTATTTTAGCAAACAATGTTAATTCTCCCAGCTGGTGTTTGCTGCAGCTGGACTCCTTCCCTGCTTAAAAGTTTACATGATCTCATGGAAAAGGACCCAGGATCTGATTTCTCAGTCACAAAGAGGTATTTATTCTGCATCTACCTGACTGTAAAGCAACTACTTATCCCGTGCCATCTCTCACCTCTGCAGAGGGATGGCATAACATGATGCTCCCCGATTTGGGACAGTGCAGGTCTCTTCTGCTTGACTTTCAAGTGGATTGAAGCATCCTCATGGGATCCTTTTGACTGGTAGGGTGGGAAACCTGGAGCAAAGGGTGGCTAGCTGGGGACAGTAAAGGGAGAACTGCCAGGTCCAGCGGAGACCATCTTCATGTGGCTGGAGGTCACCTTGTCCCTCTGCTCTGGGCCAACTGGACAGCCACAAGCTGCGTGTTTTGTCTCCACTGTCTACAGCCACCTCGCTTCCAGTTTGCCTGAGGAAGAAAGCAATTTCCTGGGAAACTGGAGAACTGGCTTGTGTGAGACAGTCATGTTGCTCTAAGGGTACTGCTGCAGTTGAAGTAATTAAACCCCTCCCAGTGTAGACACGGTTAAACCCAGACATGTATTTTAGCCTGGTTTCCTATGGAAACAAGCCTTATGCAATCCTGCTGTCTGTCAGCCTTTCTTCCCCTCCTCCCCCAGCTTAGTTTTTGCACTGGTTGGCCAAATGCGACAGAAGTCTCCAAGCTGTCAGGTTTCTACAGATTTCATGGAAATAGGTGTTTTCATAGAGCAGAGGGACCCTGTTGGAGCCTGTGTTGGAGGGAAAGGCTGCAGTGAGGGTTTGACTCAAGACTGGTCACTGGAGAATCTCAGCATGGAGGAAAGCTTTGAAATGCCTCTGCTGTGGGAACAGATGGAGACTGCACCTGTATAAAGCATTGCCTTGCTAAATGCAAGTGGATCAAACTCTGAAGCAGTTAATTTTGTCTTAGGTGACTGCTCTGTTCCTCTGCTGGAAAACCCCATCTCCAGGGTGGCAGGGGGACTGAGCTGTGTAGGAAACACAACCTGAAATGCCGTTGTTCATACCTGGTTTAATAAAATAGCCTTAAATGAGCACTGTTAAAATACTTTGGCTGCAAAGGCTAGTGTTTTAGAAGCTATCCCTGCTGGGAGAGGCAGATGGTTGGAGACCATAATAGCTTCAGTTAGTTCCCATTTAATCCATGTGTGTTTGGAGTCAACATCCTTGGAGAGACGGATCGGGTGACTGAGAGACAGTTGTAGCAACCCAGACTTAATCCTGATGCTTGGAGGATATGCTGCTGATTGCCCGTGGTCTCAGCAGTGTTGAGGTCTGGGGACAGGAGGAGAGTCAGCAGTCTCTGAGGCTGTGAGCACTTATTCCAGTGCAGGACGGGCCATTTGCTAGAGTGGTTTGCACCGAGATGTCTGATTTCCCAGATGTAAGAGCTTATTATACTTGGAATTAGTTACTGGGTAAAATCTGAGCCCTGGTGATGTGCTCTTGGGTAGAGATGGCAATGGCAGCTGTGGCTGGAGCAGTGGTGTGGGAGGGGGTGTGTGGCTGGGCAGGCTGGCATGGGGAAAGCTATGCAGCGAGGCCAGCGCTCGCCAGTGTTTTTGTCCTGCCAATCTGAAATGGGGAAATGCTCCATTCCTTTGCGTTGCTCTCTGAGGAAACTTCCAGGCAATAGCTTTTCCTCTGATGACATTACTTCAGCCTGCGCTATTTCTCCTCGCCTCACCTCTCTTTACCTAGTGGTGGAAACCCCTGTCCTGATGGCTGGCTGCCGGCGGCAGAGCGCTCTGGGGATGCACTGCTTATGGACCCAGGAGGAGCAGGGCTTCCCATGCCCCCACCCTGCCCAGAGGCTCGCGGGGCCCTTGCCCTGGCTGGCGGCTGGCATGGAGGTTGTGCAGCCGCGCACGAGCAGCCTGGCCTGAGCTCCCTGCTGCTGCAGCTCAGCAGGATAGATGTGCAGACAGCCAGCAGCTCTCACCTCTCCCTCATGCTCAGCCAGCGTTCCCTGGAGTGTCTTCCCTCGGAGATGTTGGACATGCTGCTGTTGGCGATTTACCTGAAAGCATTTCATTAAGAAAGGACCAACTTTCTTGTCTCCTTTTTTCCCAAAAGTCACTGATCCTATCTGCTAAAAGACTTAGTAAGCGTGTTGTAGGTAGGGGTAGATTCCTGTGGAGATCATGCAGGACATCGCTTTCCCATCCTGAAAAAGGTGGAAACATGTGGAAGTGACTGGAAGACAAGATCTGCTCCAGTGGGAGTGGTAGTTGCTATGGAAGAAGGAAATCTCAGAGGGATATCCTCCCCTACCCAGCTGATGCAAAAGGCCCTTGAAATAACTACAGTGCAAAAGAAAAGGTATTTCAAAGTGGGCTTTGGATCCTCTTGGCTGTGTTTTGGCACTGTTTTGGCTCCCAATCAAGTGCAGGTGTGGCAGCAGACCGGCTGTGATGCATGTCTGCCAGTAGCCAGGCCATTTGGCCAGCACCTTCAGGACAGCAGTAGCTCAGCTCCCTCTTTGAAGTGCCTGGGAAAACAGCCTGTGCGTGCATCTGCCTCTCTGGACAAGCAGAGTAACTGCATTACATCCTCTAATTCCATCTTGGCCTTCTGGGAAGATCAGTGCATGTAGGCAACACAAGGGTGGTGTCTGTCCCAATGCTGACATAAATGAAATTAGCCCCTAATGAAGCATCTTCCTCTCAGGTTCAGAAATGTAGCCCTTATTTCTGCTGTTTTTCATCTCCCTGCTCTGGCTGCTTCTCCCTGTCTGTCCCACCTCCCACTGGTCCCACCCATGTCTGGGCACTGCACTAGGGCTGTTGGTGGCCCCTTCCCCAGTGATCCCTGTCCTGTGTCACTCCTGCCCTGGCTGATAGCTGGGGTGACCTTGCTGCCATTTTCCCTGGTGGCTTTATGAGGTGCTGATGCTCCCTGTGCTGGTATTGTTGTTATTTTTGGCACTTTGCTTGAGACTGAGATCTCATCTTTTGGCTTGAAAGTCTAGCTCCTTGCCTTTTAGCTTGGAAGAGAAGGGTAGGATTTTAATCTGAAGGTTTCAGCCCCCTGAAGAGCCTAGAAAGACAGCATATTTTATCACTTGTATAAACGGCATATTTTCCCACTATATAAAAAGCTTCTGTTCCTTCTCCCATCTGCTCCTGCGAGTGGTCTGAAACCAGGGATTGCCTTGGGTTCCCACCTGTAACGGGCATGTGAGTTGCCCCATCAGCACTCTCCAGCCATCATCAAAGTGGGAGGCTGCTGCAGAGGCAAGACGGCGAGCGTGAGCTGTTGAGCTCTTTGGGCTCCATGTCCTTCACATAGGCATCTGATAACATGTGCCACTTTGGTAAGGTGCCTCTTTGCCGTGCCCCATTACTCCCCTCCTCACACACCAGACTCTGTGATGGATTGTGAATGTTTCAGACAGCTAAATATCTGAAGGGGAGGAGTCTTAATCAGCAAAACTCACAGACAGGGCAGGGGTTTTACCAGTTCCTGCAGGATGTCCCTGCAATGCTACTGGTGGCACAGAAGGGGATGTTCCAGCTCTGCAGTGAAGGGCTGCTAGACTGAGTGACTTGATGCCCACACTGCTCACTAGCCACGGCTCATTAAAACAGTCTCACCTCTTAGCTGCTCTAAGCTGCCTTTCCCTTCAAGCAGGCACGGAGCTAGAGTTGTGCTGGGAGTGGATGAGTTACAGAAATGCTCGTTCCTTTGTGTTGAAGTGAACCACGGGATCAGCAGAGTGTAAAAGCGAACCCAGCCTCCGAGCCCCTGCCTTGGGACCAGCTGTTCTTTGTCACTTGCTGCAGGGTGATGTCCAGAGAAAAGCCTACTTTGCAAAGGGAGTTCCTGGGACTACGCAGATTCAAGGAGCAGTCAAAAACTGTTTAAAAGTTTGTAGGCTTTAAAAATAATCATGGTATACGGACGCAATGGCATGCTGTGCAGTTGGGTCTGTGCTCTTGAGGTGGTTGCAAAAGATACATGCACATAATGAGGCACAGCAGTGCCTAAGCTTACTAGAAATCTCAGTGTTGGAGACTCTCAGGTTGTCATTTCCCTGCATTAAAGTACTCATTGGGAAATGGGTTGGGATAAGGAGTAAAAAATTTACTTGTGCTGGTAAAAAAATACAAAAAGCTGAGATATGAGGTCCACCATGCTTGTCCTGTGGCTATACATGCATAACATAGGAGTGTGCTGAGATTTCCATGTAGCAGTCTAAGGCTCTTTTAACCACAGTTACTGGAGTCGCAATTATGTTTGTTTCTCTAGAGAAGTTTGATTTTCTCCTGATGAGTGGAAAGCTTTCACTGATGAGAGGGAAATCCTAGTTCATGCGAGATGTCTGTCTCCCCTTCAAAGCTAAAAATGTTCCCTTGTGAGGGTGGGAGTGGAGAGAAGAGGGGAGATAATATGATCCGGTCAAAATTGGTGGCAGAAATCAATGTTAATATCTGAAAGGACTCTCACTTCTAATTTCTTTTGTCTATTTAAGCCAGTGAAGAAAAAGAAGATAAAACGTGAGGTTAAGATTCTGGAGAATTTACGTGGTGGCACCAACATCATTAATCTGATTGACACTGTCAAGGATCCAGTGGTAGGTGGCTGCGTGTCACGGTGGGGTGGTGGGCAAGCGCTGCCGCATGGCTTCTGCTCTCAGCTCGAGTTAGGGGCTGTCTGTGCCTTTGTGCCAGCCAGAGGCAAGTGGCGTCCAGCTTGTGAGGGTCTCCTGAGGTGGGTTGGTTTGAATGGGCTCATGTTCCCCAGACTCTTTTACACCCCTTCTGTGAGTTTCCCATGGCTGATGGAGGAGAAGTTTTGTAGCCCTACAGATTTTCTGTAAGAAAACAGCCTTCCAGCTTCTGCCTGGCATCTGGAACATAGTATCTGCCAGGGCAACAGGGTATTAATCACTTCTCATCCTTCTGATTGCTGTCCTGCCCAGTGACCAGAGGTCATATCCTTTGTCTGCATTGTCAGAGTTACCCCATTCCCAGGAAGTTTTCTGTGACTGGTAGCTGGCTGGGGTCTGTGACTCCCAGCCTGCTGGCAGCCACCAAGCGAAAATGACACTGCTGTAGCATTGGCAGTCCTCGCTGACCTTCCTCCTGTGATGGGCTGTGAGTCCTTACCCCCTGGTGACACCTTTTGCCTTGCCCAGTGCTGTCTCTGCTCTGTGGCACGGGGAGGAGCAGCACTAGCCAAAGTTGGTGCTTGCTGTGTGGGGTGTAAGTGGAGCTGGCCTCTGTCTGCTGCCAGAGCAGGGCTGCGTCTCTCTCACTGACCTGCTCTCCTCAGCAAGGGCTGGGCAGGAAACAAAAGCTTTCTCGGGTCTCTTGGAGCAAATAAAGGTCAAGAGGGTGTTTTAAACCATGACTCTCTCTCTCTTGCAGTCAAAGACCCCTGCTCTGGTGTTTGAGTACATCAATAACACAGATTTTAAGGTGAGTCTGCCCGAGGGTGGAAGGGGGAGGCTTCCCATTTCTGTTAAGACTGCTATGATCTTGGGTTGTCGGATACTTTGCAAGAGCTATGGGGGGAGTTTGGGGCTTTCACTGATGTCAGTTTCACCTTCATTTCCCCATGTAAATCAGACACCTGTAAATAAGCTCTAGATGAGAAGGAATAAAATAAAAACCTTGTGTGCTGAATTTCCTCCCAACTTTGAGGAGTAAGTTCAACTGGTTAGATATTATTACTCCCCTCTCAATTTAGTAATTACTGCTGTACTATATATTCAACCCAAGTTAATCCCTGTGCTGCAATGCTCTATTTACAGCAGTGCAGTTGATGGAGCAGGTGGTACCGATTGGTGCTGGAATCCTTCAGACCTGGGGACTGTGGAGTGGCAGAGCCTGGAGAGCACGTCTCCCACTGCTGCTGGGCCTGGTAGCAGGGGAGTGAGCAATCTTGAATACATCTTTAGAGCTTTTCTGCTTGCTGGAGGCTGCAGGGTATTCCCTGGCTCTTCTGATTCCTGTGGAATTCCAAGTGGTTACCCTCTTCCCTAACACTGGAGTCCTTCTGTCTGAGTGCAGTTACAACTGCCTGTGCTGCTGAAATGCTGCTGGCTGCCAGAAGCAACCGATACATAAAAGGGATATATAATTAGCAACCACACCTATTTTAATGGTATCTTTGCTTCCCCCATGTGAATCTTTACCCTAAGTCATTAAGTCAGCGGTGGGGAATTAGTTGAGCAGTTGCCATTAGAAGCCAGCAGCCATCCCCTCCTGCACTGTTTAGAGATCTCTTTCATTCCATGGTATGGGATGGTGCTTTTCTCTTCCTGTCTGTGCCAGGGCGTTGTGTAGGTGCATGCCTTGTAGGATGCAGCTTCAGCAGATACAATAAGGACCCAGAGAAGGACCCTGGGTTGGGATTGGTGGCAGAAGGCAGCTTGTCAGCTGCCCCAAGGACCGTCTCACCTGCAGCCCTGCATTCTGCACAGCAGCACACGTGTTTTCTCTCCCTCTGGGGTTGGTCTGGTGAGCTGAGTCCTGCTGGGTGGGACCCTGTGCGCAGCCAGAGCACGCTGGCCATGGTGGTCTTAGTGCTCTTTAATCTCATGTAGAGACTTACTGCAGAGGCTAAAATAATAGTAACTTGCTACAGCTCTGGGTGGGGAGATTGAGTGTTGCCTCCATCAAGTAAACAGCCAGGAGTGCTATGTGGTGACCTTTCAGGGCTAATTAAAGCAGGCTTGGTTTGTCTGGGCTTCATTGGCATTAGCTGGGCTATTCCATTGCCTCAGGTATGTTGGGAATGTGCCCCTATGCTTCTCCTGGTGACCCAGGGACTCTTCATAAGGCTGATCCTGGAAGGTTTTAACTATTCAGAAAATTTTTGTTTGTTCATATTTATTTTTAATATATGGCTTGAGATAAAATAGGTTGCTGGGGCAGCAGCACACTTTGCTGAGGATCACTTTGTGTGTGTCTCCTAGTCAAAATGTGATTACACCACTGTGTCATGCCCTTAGAGGAAAAAATTATCATTGAAGCTATCACTCAGTAACTGAAATACATTCATGAAATGGAATGTTAAGTAGTAATCTAAGGCTGGTGGCCAACAGGGACTCTTAACTTAAAAATGCAGGGCTTGGAGCCCATGGCAGGTCAGCAGTCCCAGCCACCGTGAGACCTGACACGGTCACTGGTGGCAGCCAGTGAGGCAGCATTGGTCTGGCCACAACAGTGCACAGCTCTGACTGTTGCATTAGAAACAACTATATGAGTTTGCAGCAGATCATTTCTAGAGTCCTAGGAGAAAGCCTGGGTCCTGGAGGAAGCTGAGGTTCGCAGCTGTGCAAATCTTAGAAAGTATTGATGCTTTTGATGCTGATTGGACCAAGACAGGAATAACTTGTCTTGGGAATGCAAGCATGAAGCATGTCCCCCGGGGCATGCAGGATGTCTGAATTTCACTACCTACATATTGGGCGTCTGGGCTGAGCTACACTCCCCTGAGCTCTCTTGCCTGTTTGGGTAGGTCTGTGGGGCTGCAGCTAACCATCAGATTACAGAGCTGGTGCTACTCACGAGTGCCTGTGTGTATCTTCTTCTATGCAGAGGGTCCCAAGCTGTCTTCTCTTGCTCTGAAGTGCAGATGGAGAGCACCCAGTCATTGTCCCCTCTGCCCTACAGTCCTGATCTCCCCCGGCAGCCAAATTCTGCATAAATTCAGTCACACATGAGCTGATCCTGGTGACAGGGACCTCTTCTTGTTTTGAGGGGGCTGCTGCTGATCTGCCCATCTCTGTATTGGCTTGTGGATTCAGCAGTACTGATTAGTCCCATGCACCTTGCTGGCATGTCACCGTCCCTGGGTGTGAGGGAGTTCTCAGGGCAGCTCTTGTACAGCAGGGGGTTGCCAACTACTTTAGAGAATTGTGTTTTTCTCTGGCCTGTTGGCAATAGTTGCTCACGAGCTTGGATGTCTCCTCAGTTGTCTCCTTTCTGGAAGTTTCCTTCAATGTTATTATTTTTTGCATAATGTTAATACATTCACCCCTTTGCACATTCAAGTGGACACTATTCATGCCCATGCCCCCATGAAAATGGCAGCTGGGTTTCCTCAGCTCTCTGTGATGGGCAGAAACTGCAGTCCTGTGGGGCCTAAGCCATGGCTGTGGACAATTCTGAATCAGAAGTGCAAGCTTATATTCCACACAGTTTGGCTATTTTAAAATGGTGGTATAAACAGGAGACTTAGGTGATACCTCCCTAGAGCTAATCACATTTTCTTAAATTACCTGACTGGGTCCCTTCTAAAAGTGCCGGATCTGGCTCGCAGGGATGATGAGTTGGAACTAGACTAAATGCATATTCTGCTACATGAGGAGGGCAGCTTGTGTATGGGGCTCGTGTTTCTCTTCAGACCCACTGTATTGCTTATCATCTGTGAGCACTCAAACTATCCAGAGTCATCTTTCTTAAACGATAGCTGCGCTGCAGAGCCACGCGGTCCATTGAGTAACCATCAGTTAAATTAAAAGTCTTTTGCTATTTGATTTCAAACTAGAAATGAGATGCCTGTCCTTCAACCACCGTCACCTGTCATATATTTAGTGGTATTGTGCCTTTCATTGCCCCGAAGAGGCCAATCCTTTGGGAAAGAAGGGGGCAGAGCCAGGTCTTCAGGAGCAGTGCTAAGTTGGGTTTGCTGTTGCGTTCTTTAAACGCGCTAGCAGGCTTGCAGCTGAAGAAGAGATGGGCAATGAAGAAGAGAGAGCAGTGAAAAGTTGCTTCAGGATGTTCAGCCTGTTGGAGTTGTGGGGACAGAGGGCTTCTGAGTGAAATCTTCCACTTTGCGTGCACCTCAGTGAATTTTCAGGCCAAGTTGCTGGGAGGGAAGCGTGTGCCAGCGTTTAAACTAACCTTGTACATCCCAGGTTAGTTTAAAAAATAGTTGTTGCCCTGAATTACACGATGCAGAAGTCTGAAAGATTCTCTTCTCTTGCATGGCTGCTGAGGATGCTTTGGGAGCTGTTTCCTTTCCTTTTGCTGCTGTCTGCCCCGCGCTCCAAAGCAGTGTCTCTCATCCAGCAGTTCCTCGCAGCCATCCTGCTGCTTTGCAGATGCTTCCTGCAGGTAGCCAGCTGTGTGGCTCACTCAAGGGAGAAGAATAAGTGTTTAACTTCTGTCAGTCCCATGGAGAGGGGAAGCATGTCTCTGCCTCCTTGAGCATTAACAGGATTGGTTTACCGTTGGTTACATGATATGTGCCAAAATACTGCTGAAAGCTGGAGAGGGGTGGAGGGGGCCAATGGGTGAGTTTGACCTTTCCTTCTGCCCTATATAGAGAAAGAGACCAGCCCAGGTCTCCGAGGCCTTGTGTCATCCTGAGTGCTGGCTGCTACCTGAGTATATGTTTGAGCTTGGTCTGAGTGATCCCCACAGAGATGTTTTTGATGGTTCTACTTCAAAGAGACAGTTGTAAGAGCAGAGCATGGGGCACATCTGCAAATGAGGGGTCTGCTTTCCCCTGCTAGGCTGGGCAGAGGGGATGCAGACCTCACTCTTGAAGCTGCTGTGCGGGAGCCACTTGCAGTGGAAACCTTGGTTCTGTCCTTCAAAGTCACCTGTGTTCACCGGCTGCTGGCAGTGGGACTGAGCGCACTCCTGCAGGCACTGTTCCCCCCGCAAGCAGAGCAGGGGCACTGCTGCCCATACTCTTGGCCTTGGCACAGTGAGAGGGTCAGAGGTACTGGGTTTCTAGGGAAGTCTGTTGAAAGCTGGTTGCCCAATGGCTGCCTCTGCTCAAGACTATGAGTTGGAGAAGTAACAGCATTGTGGGCCTGAGAAGAAAGTCATTGGTGACCTCCATTCCTGCTTACGGGCAGGGAGAGGCAGAGGAGCCAGGGAATGGGGAAAATGGGAAAATAGCCCTGTTCTGCCACTGCCTCTCCTGTGCTCCCCCTTTCACAGGTGCATTGGTGTTGCCAGGTGAAGTTGAACAGGGTGGTGATTCCCAGAAAGACACATTTTAAGCATCTCTGTCCCCCTGTAGTGTTTGTTACCTAAGCAAGCCATTTAAACAAACTCCTGGAGGGGCTCAGCTGGCCTCTGCTGGCCCTGGGTCATGCATCAGAGCCATGTGCATCCCAGTCAGGAGATCTGTCCATGCTGTAGATTATGGCTGTCTTTTTTTGCACCCTGCTCACTTCTCTGCTTCAGTGGGTTGCTCCAAAGTGTTAGGATCATCCCAGCTCATGAGAATACAATGCAGCTTGTGTCCTGGAGGCTATTAAAGCTCTGTGTGTGTAAGTGACACTTGTATGTTGTCAGCCGATTTCCCAGAGCAGTATTGGGGGTGGTAGGGCTGTTTGGATCTGGCCCTAAGTAAGGCAGGATCCTGAGGATCTCAGCATGGGCCTGGAGGGGATCTGGGACCAGAGTTGCTTTCTTGGGAATGTGGATTTCAGTCCCTTGCTCTGGGATTTTTGCTGAAGCTGCCAAGTGGTGCCCGTGGTGGGCAGCTGGCTCCAGTGCTGATGCAATCGGTGATTTGACTGAGCTGTGAGATGATCCTTGTTTGTTGGAAAGGGCAGAGGGGTCTGGTCCTACTGCTGCCCTGCGAGTGTCCTTCCTTGCCCTGTCCTGGCGCCTTGCCTTGCTTTCCCTGGGTGAGAGCACAGCCCAAGGGGGTCGGGCTGGCACCACTGCCAATGACAGCTATAGAGCTGAAGGCAAATTTGGGGCCATTTGTGACCTGGTGTGGGAGCAGCAGGATGATGAGTTCTTCAGTGATGGTGCTGGTGGCATGGTGCAGGTTAAAGTGCGCCCTGGATCTTTGTCACTTCTGCATGAGTAGCCACAAAAGGACAGAGAGGAGGGTGGTGAATGTGTGCTGGCAATAAGCACTTCCCAGAGACTCCGAGCTGTGCTCTCCTTGGCCCCACAAGCATTTCTGTCCTGTTGAGTTGCATTAGGCTTTATCCTGGGATAGAGGAGAGCCTCCACTGCTCTGAGACTATCTCTGCCCTTCGTGCTTCCCCACCCTGTGCTTCTTTAGGTTAATGTTTTCCTCTCTCTGCCCCCACCCTGAGCACTTAGAAGCTTTGCGAACATGTTTCCAGGCTCCCTGCTCTGAATGCTTTTACCCCTGTTGTCAAGTCACCGTGATGACTTCGCAAGTGAGCGGAATCAAGATCATCTGTACCAACTCCAGCACGCTCTGAAGGGCTTGCTGCCTTCTCTTTGGACAGACAGCCTGCCTGCCTGTCTCCCACTGGAAAGAAGTCGTGACAGGTCTGAAAGATCCCAGCAGCATTTCACAGGAGGTCTTGCATCCTTTCTGGATTTCCTAGTGCATAGCCCTGGCAGATCTGAGACAAGGGCAGCCCTTGAGAGTGGCAGCATTCACAGGGGTCTGGAATGGGATCAGTGATTGGAGGCAGGTGGGGTGCAGGAAACAAAACTAATCCATATCTGGAGTATTTATTTTTTCTTTTTTTTTTTTTTTCCCCTCCCTTTCCAAATCTGTTTCAGCAACTGTACCAGATCCTGACAGACTTTGATATTCGGTTTTATATGTATGAGCTGCTGAAGGTGAGTGGCATTGTATATGGCAGTCTGGATGGGGAGACCAGCAATGAGAGTGGAAGTAGCAGGGCTGTACTACTAAGCAGTTACTTCTCTCCTGTTCAATACAGAATCCATGTCTCATAACCTGAGAAGGTCTGGGAAGTGATCTGGTTACCTGGCTTGTTGCTATGAGGTATTACAGCCAAAGTGGGGACCTTTGGTCACCTCCAAAGAGTCTCTGATTCTCTGGGGTCTTTCCCCGTGTGTGATTGTTAGTTGCCAGGTAGGGCTGTGCTTGTTCTCCCTGAGTCTCTAGCACCTGCTGTGAGGACAATCAATTCCCTCCCAGCCAGACCCAGGACAAGCACCAAGAGGTGTTTGCAGGACTGGGGAACTGGGGACTCTAGCACGTTTAGGACAGTGGAGGACAGGGATTGCTAGCTTCAGGCTTTCTTCTGCTGCAGTATTCAAATACAGCCCTAGAAGGTGACTTCTGCCCACTTGGTCTTAGGCCCCCTCTGTCTCTGGGTGGGGGATCTAGGATACTTCAAGAACAAGCTGGCCATCTGGGTGGCCTGTGGTCACAGAACTCCGTGGATGTGGTCTTATGGAGCAAAGCTTTTGATTATGCTGCCTGTTATTTTCCTTTGAGATCTCCCAGCCAAAGCTTTCTCTGCCCCTCTGATGAAGGGCAAGGAGTGCCCTAAATACCTCCTCTTAAAAGGCCTAGCTTGCTCCCCATGGAAATGCTCATGGAGCCATGTGGCAGCTCTGTGAGAACTGCTGCGCTGCCTCTCTGGGGTCTCTGGCTGCAGGACATGGGGCCCAGCAGTGCATTAAAGAGACCTTACAGGTTGTGGCTGATCCCAGGGCTGCTCTGCTCCAGCCTGCTGGAGCTTGGCTGTGTCAGGCCCTAGCAGCACCTCGGGACTTCTGGGCTGGCACTTAGCAGGTCCCCTGCCTCTGGAATTGAGTGAGACAGGCTAGGGGAAGCCCTTTGCTGGCCAGGACTTGGTGATTACAGGAGACCTCCTGAAATAGATCTAGTGGGCTCAAGGAAGGCTTTCTTCTCTGCAACTGTCTGCAAGGGAAAAACCTTCCTACTGAAGATTGGAAGGAGCCTGAGGCAGCCCAGGGTTAGCATTGAGGGGTCTAGATGATCCAGCCTTGAGACAAGCAAGACACTAGAACAGCCTCATCCCTGGAAGCAGTTTGCTCAGCCTGTTGTAGATCTCCTGTACTGGAGATCCCAGGGCTACCAAGTGCTGTGACTTCTGGTGGTTACAAGGCCTCATGTCGTTACAGGGATATCCCCTGAGGCCTCTCTGTGATGGAAGCTGTTACCTCTTCTGCTTCCCACTGTGGCAGGGGCCCAAGGACAGTGCTACTTCCCTGGCACTGGTATCTTGGATATTAAATGACTGTAGGCTGTACCCTCCTTCCATGCTGCTGGAAATCTCGGAGCATCTGATAGATGTTGATGGATGGATCTCCTTCCCCCTTGGAGATGAGAAAACAACATTCTCACTCCCTTGCTCAAGGGAACAGCTGGGGAGGGGGGCACAAGTGGCGCAAGGTCATGGAGCTGGAGAGCTTATGTGTGCTCCTGCCTTCAAGCTTTAAGCAGCATTGCCCTCCCTCGCATACTATCACCTGCCTTTTGTAAGTGCTCATTTGGCTTAAATGAACAGGGCAGAGGTGACTTTCTAGCTCAATGTGTTTTGGGACAGAAGTGGAAAGCTGCACTGGAAAGCCATAAAACTGTAGGCATGTAAGAATCATCCCCTTCTGGGGAAGAGAGTGTAACCTAGGAAGCACAGGACTGCCCAGGTTGGAGCACTGTGGGCTTGTCATCAAGTGGGCCACGTCTCTGCATTGTGTTCTTCAAAGACTCTGCAGGGAACAGTTCCAGGACTGCAGCAGGACACGAGATCGATACAGTCTAGTTGCCAGCTTGTCACTTCATCACATGCTGAAAATGCCAGTTGCTTGTGCCAGAGTCGCAGCACTTCCTCATGGATGGGGCACTTGTAGTCCTAGCCAAGAACTATCTGTTATATTGTTAATGCTGTGCCTATGGTTACAGATGTGTCTAATGTATGTGCATGTGTCTGCCAGGCCCTGGATTACTGTCACAGCATGGGAATCATGCACAGGGACGTCAAACCCCACAACGTCATGATAGACCACCAACAGAAAAAGGTACTGTGGCACCAGGGCTTACAAGCAGGATTTTTCTAGGGAAACTTGAAACTGTGCTGCCTCTATACCCATAGCCTGGGCAGCTGAACTTAACCCCTTAACCTTTACTGACTCCCCACACTGGGTTTCTTTGCTGAGAGGAGCAGGTCTGGGCTGTTAATCTCCACCTGGGGAGGTGTGGCAATAGGGTCCAGAGGCCGTGGCCAGAAGAAGGGTGGCCTTGTCTGAAACACATGTGGCTATTTTTACACAGGAAACATAAGCTCTCCCTGTAGTACAGCCTGCCTGTCCTGCAGTGGCTTCCTCACTTCAGGGGCATGCTAGTTAGATCACAGGAAACATTTGCTCCCAGCTCACTACCATGGAAATGGGCAGTACAGGGAGCTCTCCCACCCCATCCTGGTGCTTGTACCTCATCGGGTCTTATGTGTCCCTGTCTACTCAGGGACCTGGGATTTGCAGCAGCTGGTCCACAGGCCCATCCCTCTCAATGAGCAGTGGCTGTGCAAGCAAGGCAAGGTTTATAAGGCGGGGGAAATCTCTTACTAGACCTGATATTCTTCAGTAACACGGCAGGTCATCCATCCCTGCGGCTGTGGAGGAGGTGGTCTGCCTTGCAGGATGTGGTGGGGCCCCCTCCTACCTTGTTTCCTGCTCCCAGTTAAAATCAATACTGCCTTCAGCCTAGCCCCTCTAAACAGCAGAATCAGACAGCTGGCTTTTGCCTGTTCCCTGGTATGCATGGACAGTATCACCTGTCCATGTGGCTACTGGTTCTGGTGAGGTGCCAGCTGCCCAGCATTGACGGTGTGCTTGGACTCAGGAGGCAGAGGAGCTCTCTAGCTGGGCTTTGTCCCACCACCTGGTGTTGGGGGAAAGGGAAGAGCCTGACCAGAGCACTGCTGAGAGCATCTCCTGTCCTCAGAGCACCTCCCTGCAACCTAGGCTCCGGGCTGCACACTTCCATCACGGGATTGAGAGGTTTGGCCAACGTAGCTTCACCTAAGTGGCTCGTATTGAGGCTCCTGACTCTGTGTCTCTTTATCACATGTTCAGCTGCGACTCATAGACTGGGGTCTGGCCGAATTCTACCATCCAGCTCAGGAATACAATGTCCGTGTGGCCTCTAGGTACTTCAAAGGACCGGAGCTCCTTGTGGACTACCAAGTAAGAGTCTGCCTCCTCCTTGCTAGCCAGTGATACCACTTGTGGGTTGCACTTTGGCCACCTTTGGGTTGTCTGGTTTTGCCTGCCAGGGCATTGCCTGGCTTGCAAAGAAGCTGGCTGTGAAGTGAAAAGGCTGAGGCTGCCTATGCAGTTGGGGAACTGGGCTGTGGTGAGCGTGCCTTTTCTGACAGCTTCTCCTTTTTCCCCTCAGATGTATGACTACAGCTTAGACATGTGGAGCTTAGGCTGTATGCTGGCAAGCATGATCTTCCGAAAGGAGCCCTTCTTCCATGGCCAGGACAATTATGACCAAGTAAAGACTTTGCTACCTGGCTTGTTTCTTGAGACATTTGTCACTGCCTCGTCTCTGTGTGTATAGTGGGGAGGTTCTGGGGATCAGATGCCAGGCTGGGAGGATGTTGCTATGTCTTTAGTTAAGCCATCTGGGATTATGCCTTACTGCCTCATGTAGGAGACTTGTTTTCTGCACGTGTTGCAAAAGCAAGTTTCAGGGGAGATGTTCCTTCCATCTGGGATGTTTCCAGAAGGAGAGCTCTAAGATTTGGGCAGCTCTGCCTCTGCAAGAGCAGTCGTCTGCCCTTCTGCTCTCTCTCAACATGCCTTTTGTTCCAGCTGGTTCGCATCGCAAAGGTCCTGGGCACAGATGAGCTGTATGGGTATCTCAAGAAGTACCACATAGAACTGGACCCGCACTTCAATGATATCCTGGGCCAGTAAGTGGAGAAGTGAAATGCAGGCTTTTTTCCACAGAGAGGGAGATAAACTGACGTCCATCCCCTTGAAAGACTCTCAGCAAAGGCCTGCTTTGGTCTTCTGGGTCACAATGCTGCTTGCAGACTTCCCATCTGGTTGCTCATATCATCTCAGGAGGCCACTGAAATGCAGGCTGTTTCCTTCTGCCTCTCCCATGATCCACAAGCCATCCCCTGTTCCTTCCTTCTCCTACTCGCTGACATCCTAGAAGTGGAGGTGTAGGCACCGGAGTTGAGTGTGGGCTGAGGGGCTCAGAATTTCCCAGTTGAGATGTCTGAATAGGACAAGAGGTGGATGGGGTAGCGAGGACAGCTTCTGTAAGGCTGGCTGGCAGCCTTTTGCACTTTTGCACCAGAGCACTTCTGGTCCCGAGGATGTCACCCTGCATGCTGTTGTCTAGTTCCTGTAGACAAGGGAATGTGCAATATTGTGCTTTTCCCAGGCATAGAACATCCACACAATTGTGTACCTAAAGAAGAGGGTTTTCCACCTTGGGCCAAGTGCTTACTGAGCAGTAGCTTGTGCAAGGAGGAGCTGTGGGCAGTGTCTGTCACAGCCATCTCTTCTCAGAACTGGGTAGTGGTAGGTGATTCCTCTGGAACTTCTGGGTGCTGCTGTGCTGGTCAGAGCTGGCCAGTGACAGCTGGTCCCCTTGCAGGCATTCCCGGAAGCGCTGGGAGAACTTCATCCACAGTGAGAACAGACACCTGGTCAGTCCTGAAGTCTTAGACCTCCTCGACAAGCTCCTGCGATATGACCATCAACAGAGGCTGACCGCCAAGGAGGCGATGGAGCACCCCTATTTCTGTGAGTCTGGGGAAAAGCTGGGGCCAACTGGGGTGGAAGAGGGATCTTGGGTTGTGAGGGCAAATTTTGGCTCCCTGCTCTGTGAAAGCCTTAGCAGCTGTGTGCGTTCTGAGGGCAGTTTCTCTGGAAGGGTTTGTCAGGGTGGAGCTTCCGCTTTATTAAATGCTGTTTCCCCTTCCTGCCTGCTCTGTGTCTCTTGCAGATCCAGTGGTAAAGGAGCAGTCCCAGCCCAGCTCAGAAAACGCTGTGCTCTCCAGTGGCCTGACAACAGCGCGATGAAGACTGGAAAACAACGGGTAATTCAAGATGTTTACAAATAAAAGCAAAACCTTCAGTCACACAGTGAAGGGCAAAGAACCAAGGACCCCCCCCCCCTCCTTTCCTCTCCCCTTTATACTCGGCAGAAATCTAACCTGGGGGGGGGGCGGTCATAAACCTCAGTTCCTCTCTGGTGGTTGTGGTTAATGTTAACTCTAACCCTGTGGTACCAAAGCCCTGGGCAAATGGTCTTGCAAGAGCTAAACATGTAGTGATATCCCCAGGGCTCAACACAGCTGATTCTGATTCACATCTCTATGGATCTTCCTTCTCAGTCCAGCCTTTCCCACCGTGCTGGTGGAGACAAACTGGTCGTTCCACCATCAGCCCTTAGCATGCCTCTTTCTAAACATGCCTTTCTGACTTGTAGACTGGATGAACCAAATTCAGGCTGGGGGTCAGCAGGTGCAACTCTGTTTTGAGGTCCAAGTCCTACTGCTCACTCTGGGCTTGAATTTGGCCCTTGAATTCCAGTTTCAATTGCGAATGCCAGGGGCAGTTGGGGGGAGGTTCAACAAAAAACAACCCACAAACCCAGCAGCATCTCAGGATTGGTTTGGAGCATTAAAATGAAGGTGCTGATCCGAGTTGCTGTAGAGAGGTGAGATCCTCCCTCCGGATGTGTTTGACAAAGGCTCGCTCTGAGAAGAAACTCAATAGACCTGCTTTGGAAACTGGTAAACGGGGGCCGCTCTTGTGGCAGGAGCGCAAAGGGACTATCCAGACTTTCCCATTGACCCCCCCCCCCTTCCTTCCTCTCCCCTTTATACTCGGCAGAAATCTAACCTGGGGGGGGGGCGGTCATAAACCTCAGTTCCTCTCTGGTGGTTGTGGTTAATGTTAACTCTAACCCTGTGGTACCAAAGCCCTGGGCAAATGGTCTTGCAAGAGCTAAACATGTAGTGATATCCCCAGGGCTCAACACAGCTGATTCTGATTCACATCTCTATGGATCTTCCTTCTCAGTCCAGCCTTTCCCACCGTGCTGGTGGAGACAAACTGGTCGTTCCACCATCAGCCCTTAGCATGCCTCTTTCTAAACATGCCTTTCTGACTTGTAGACTGGATGAACCAAATTCAGGCTGGGGGTCAGCAGGTGCAACTCTGTTTTGAGGTCCAAGTCCTACTGCTCACTCTGGGCTTGAATTTGGCCCTTGAATTCCAGTTTCAATTGCGAATGCCAGGGGCAGTTGGGGGGAGGTTCAACAAAAAACAACCCACAAACCCAGCAGCATCTCAGGATTGGTTTGGAGCATTAAAATGAAGGTGCTGATCCGAGTTGCTGTAGAGAGGTGAGATCCTCCCTCCGGATGTGTTTGACAAAGGCTCGCTCTGAGAAGAAACTCAATAGACCTGCTTTGGAAACTGGTAAACGGGGGCCGCTCTTGTGGCAGGAGCGCAAAGGGACTATCCAGACTTTCCCATTGAGCTCAGGAAAGTCAGTGTTGCAAGACTGCTTGTGATAGGTGTGCAACCACGTACCTCATGACGTGGCTCCCATGAGAACTGGTGCCAGAGCACAGCTCTGGAGCAGTTCGGTCCAGCACCACAGGATGGAAGAGGGAGAGGAGGCTGGGCAGGAGAGCATGGGGAGGGGGAAGGATCAGCAAACAGCAGTGTGGTCTGTCGGGGAGGGGGCTGTGCAGCTACTGATCCAGGACTTGGGATCCCACGTAGAGTGTTTTAACAAAGTCAGTCATTTGTAGAATTCTGGGGTGCCGATCCTGTTGTGGGGGGTGGGGGGTTCATCTTGCGGGTTCTTTCATCAGATCCCTCGATGGCTTTATAGCCCCACGATTCACAGTTGCCTCCTCTACTTGTTCTGTGTGTAACTTCATCAAGTGGTTCTGGTGACACTCAAACCTAGAAGCTGGAGATAGTGTTTTCCCACCAGCACCTAAACACAGAATTTCCTTCTGCGGCATTGTTGAAATAGTTAATTTTTTATAAGGTTGCAATGTTTCTATTTGAAACATCTGTTTACATTCCATATTCCAATAAAGTTCTATTGGCATCGATAGCAGGTCAATCCATTTGTATAATTCACTGAAACCAATAAATATCTATACGTCTGAACGTCTGCCGTCTCAAATCTATGGGATAGCCAGAAGGAGTGAGAGCCGAAGGCATTGCCTCCTCGAGGAGGTTAGGTTAGCCCTTCCAGCCCCTCTTGCCTGAGCATTTTGGGATCTCATAGTCTTTGGTTGCAGTTCTTCCCACTGTCAACCCTGAGAGTTTTGCTGTGGCAGGTTCCTCCACTTCCACAGGGCTGCAGAGGAGGTGCCAGGGTTTGGGGACAGTGGGGGGTCGGCTGTTGTGGAACATGAGACTCAGACAGCCAGTGCCCAAGGCAGTGGTCTCAGTCTGGCTGGTACATGGCAGAGGAGAAGTTACCGATGCATGGCTGGAAGTTTAGGGTTCTCCACATGCTTATCTCCTCTCAGCCTGGGTAGATGACTCTTTCTGAAGACGTGCTGAGCCAGGGAGTAGCTCTTCTTTCCTCCTGCCCTGGGATGCAACTGCTGCATGAAGGATGCAGCCAGGCCTGGCTGGGAGCAGGGTGGCAGGACATGAGGCTGTGGGCCGAGCCGTCTCCTCGTCACCTGGGGCCAGAGGAGCTCTGTGTCAAGCCAGCAGTGCCCTGTCACGCTCACTTCCCTCCTCCCATCTCTTCTCAGGTCTGATGCTGTTGCTCAGAATGAGAACCAACTCAAACATCTTATCAGTCCATGTAGAGCGACGGTGGGCAGACTGTGCGGCGTGGGCAGGGCTGAGAGTGGGGCAGCTGTCTCTATCATCACAGCCCCTCCTTCCAAGTGTTAAAGGTTCTTCTGCCTTTGGTTTCTTGTTGAGCTCGTCCTGGCCCAGAAAGAGTGGAACCATGAAGGGCTTGCAAAGCAGTTGTTGATTAGTTGTTCCTTCCTCTGCTCTGGCTCTTCCCAACCTTTGATGGACCACGGTTACCCAGCTTGCGCCTGTCTCTGACAGGACATGGGGGTGGCAGGGGATGTAGTATCACAATGAACGGTTCTGTATTATAATAAAAATAATTCTATATTGTTGAATTGTTGAAAAGTTTTAAAAGAAGCATATGAGGAGGAGTATTTCGCAGGAGGGGAGCTGTGGGGCAGGATTGGCCTCACTGGAGGATGCTGGCAGCGTGAGCTGTTCCCGGTGCCCTGCAAGGACAGGCTGGGCGAGGAGAACTAGTTTTGTACAAAATCACCACCGGCAGAGGTGTGTACCTTGTGAGGTTACGTGTACCTTCTTATGCCCCCGCACTCTTCTGGAGCTGCCTGTCTGGGTGGCGGCCTGGGTGCTAATGCTGGTACCTAATGCTGGTACCTGCTTTTCCCAGCCCATGGGACTTGGACAGGGCTCTGTCTCTGCACCCCAGGAGCTCCTATCTCTTCCTCTTTCTTGGGTTGAGACTTTTTTCTCCTCCCCAGCACCGTCACTGCAAAGTCTGCAGCTTGGAGCTCCTGCCCATGGGCCTCTGCGTTGCAGGTGTTCCCTGATACCAGTGGTGCTTCACCAGCAGCTCTCAGGAGAGCCTGGCTGTGACGCTGATGGTTGTCCAAGCTGGGCTGTGGTCGTAGATGTTAATGGACCACTTGAAACTCTGGTTTAAAAACCTCCAGCTGGACTCTGTATGACTGTACATGGCCATTTCTCTTCTGTTGTCCCATCCTTTCACTGCCCTGTGTTTTTCGCTACACAGTTTGCCCCTAAACTGAAGCTGCCCAGGCTTAGGCTTGACTGGGAAAGATGGACCTGTTGCTGGTTTCCAGGAAAGGGAACTCCAGTAAGGTGAGCCATGGGCTCCTGCTGGTGCAGAACCACAGGGTCCTGCTCTCACCCAGCCCCAGGCAGTGGCTGAAGCGGAAATGCAGGAGTGATTCCTCACCAAAAAACCTGTGAGTGGTACAGGTGGAAATTTGCCAATGACTTCCTCGTGCATCACCCCCGGAGCTGTGTCTATGTGGGGCCAGACATGGACGTGTACATCAGTTAAGTTCAAGCTACTGCTCCTTGGTCCACTGCCACAGCACGGTGTAATGATAACCCTGTTGTATCCAGGACTGGGACTCTGGTGATCCCTGATGCCTAAATCTGGCCAGTGGTGACAGCCTGTCCCTTCAGGGAAGAGCCCATGGCAGAGTCCACCTGAGGTCCACATGTGCTGGCTAGAAGCAGTGCTGCAAACATGTGCTGAACTGAGGTCCCTGCAGCATTGGAGGCATGTCCAAGTGCTGTTGCTACCTCATCCATCCCTCTCCTGACACTGTTGGGTCATGCCCCCGGTTCCCACCTCCTTCCTGCTGCAGCCCAGGTCCTCTCCAAATTGACAGCTCATTTATAAAGGATGCTCTTTTTAACTGTTGCTTGTCAGAAATAAACTCTTCTTTGCCTGCCTGTTATTTGTCTCCAGTTTGTCCAGAGTCAGAAAGGTTTGGTTCATTCTCGCCCCTTGCTCCACCATGACGTCCAATTGCACAGTGGTCCCACCAAGGCAGTGCGTCCTGCTTCCTTGACTTTCTCTGCCAAAGAGCTCCAGCACACAGTGACACCATCTCCTCCTGCGCTCACTGATGTTTACACTCCTGTTCCCTTCTGATTCCCTGCTCTGCAGCAGCCCGGCTTCCTCTTCCTCCTCCTTCACTGCTCAGAGTTCATCCAGCAGGAGGTCCAAAGCCTTTGTCCTAGGTTCCCTTGGATCCCCTCCTAAAGCCAGTTTTGCACCTTGCCTCCTCTTGCATGGAGGGGCTATGGAATTCCTGCCCAATTCCTTTTTGGTTTCCTCATTACAGCTTCCCATCATCCAGTCCTGCTCCTGTAGGAAAATCCAGGCTGGGAAAGACAGCTGGAGTCATCTGGACAACCCCCAGGATCTCATACTCCTTGCTTTGTTCTGGTTTTTTTTTTTTGCCATGCAGTGAAGGCTTTTGACTCACAAAGGTACTGGCTGAACCTGGTTCTGGTTTTACTGGTCCAAGCACTGTCTATTCAGCTGGCCCACTGGGCCATGCAGCCCATCCCAGGCCTCTGCTCTCCAGCGAGGATATAAGCTGAGAGGTGGACAGCCCAGGTTAGGATTTCCCAGGCCATGAACCTGAAGTGTGTGCAAGCACAGACTTGGTGATACCAGAGAGAGCTGCTACATTTTGCTCTAGTAACTGCACCCAGCAATGTGAAACTTCAGAGGAGCAATGTTTCAGCAGCCTCCTGGAGATCTCATTCCTCTGAAGGCATTGAATTGCTGGGAACTCTCAAGGGCAGGAAATGCTTTAGTGGACAGTTATTTCTGGAGCAGGCTACCTCTGCTCACGTCTTGGACCCTATTATTCTCTTAGGATGGGCCTTTTCCTCCTGCTCCCCAAAATCCAATTGCTCTGTACCCTGGGAACTGGGGTGTTGTAACATAGAATCATAGAATGGTTAGAGTTAGAAGGGACCTAAAAGGTCATCGAGTTCCAATCCCCCTGCCATGTGCAGGGACACCTCCCACATCTTCCCAGTGATCTTCAAGGTGGATAACATCAGTGTGTGAGTCTCATTGAGATACATCTCCCAGAGGCCTCTTTCCAAATGCCAGCCTTTACTATTAGTACCTGTTAACATCTCATTAGGCTTCTCAGCTTCTGCCCTGACCTTTAGCCCACACGTGCCTTGGGGAAGGAGGAGAGGCCAATGGGTATTATTTTTTGTTAAAATTCATTGAGAAATAGAGACAAGATGAAACCACAACATATTTCCAGGTACATCACTTGTAGCAAAACACAACATTAAAATGGCACTGGGGAGGCCACACCTCGAGTATTGTGTCCAGTTTTGGGCACCTCAATACAAGAGAGATACCGAGGTGCTGAAGAGGGTGCAGAGGAGGGCAACAAAGCTGGTGAAGGGCCTGGAGAATAAATCGTACAACAAGTGATTAAAGGAGCTGGGACTGTTTAGTTTGAGGAAGAGGAGACTGAGAGGTGACCTCATCACTCTCTACAGCTACTTGACATTGTAGAGAGGTTGGTGCTGGTCTCTTCTCCCAGGTAATTAGTGATTGAACAAGAGGGAATGGCTTCAAGTTACAACAGGGTAGGTTTAAACTGAACATTAGGAAAGAGTTTTTAACAGAAGGAGTGGTCGGGCATTGGAATAGGCTGCCCAGGGGGGTGGTTGAGTCACCATCCCTGGATGTGTTTAAGAGTTGTTTAGATGTGGTGTTGGGGGATATGGTGTAGGGGAGAACTTTGTAGAGTAGGGTAGATGGTTGGACTCGATGATCCCAAGGGTCTTTTTCAACCTAAATGATTCTATGATTCTATGAATGCATAGGCTGTTCCTGAATGGCAGCTGGATATTTGTCCCAGTTGTCTCCTACCATCTGATTAAGGGAACAAGTTATTTAATCGTGCCATATAAAGCGTTCTCTAACCCACCGACTAAATACAGCTGATCATTTCTAAATAATGCCTTGCTCTTCGTGTGCTCCATTTGTTTGTGTGAGGGATTTTGTAAATGAAGGAGAAAGTGCCAATAACCTGATTGCTGCAAGGGGCTGCATGGTTGGGACAGTGGGAGCATCGGTAGCTCAGGGGACAGATGAGCACAACCAGCAGGCAGTGCCAGGGTTTTCAGCGGGATTTGGACTGGGCATCAGTGAGCAACAAGAGCTTCACAGGGGCCTGGCCTTAAACTGCAGGACCATAGAGCTGGGGCAGAATGGTAATTTTTTGTGCTGTTTAGTGCCTGTACATTGAAAATAGATGCTACGGGTGTTATTACAGCAAGAATCCCATCCCTGCCCCATCCCTGGAAGTGTTCAAGGCCAGGCTGGATGTGGCCTTAAGCAACCTGCTCTAGTGGGAGGTGTCCCTGCCCATGGCAGGGGGGTTGGAACTCGATGATCTTTGAGGTCCCTTCCAACCCAAACCATTCTATGATTCTATGATAAGAAGAAATGTAATATGTTTCAGTTAAAAACTGTAATTTCTTGCCCAGGCTGTTCGTGGTAAGCCTCTTCAGCTCTGCAAGGCCCCGTCTATACTCAAAAGCATTTTCATGACCCGTAAAGCTGTACAACAGCCCCCCCCGCAACACACCCCCTGCTTGTATTGCCTTGGTACTCCATCTTATCCCGTCTCACAAAAACGAAAAAAAAAAAAACCAACAAATTTCTTTGCAGTCACACAGTAAGTGAGAAGAGTTGTTGCCGTCATAGTTATGTCGGAGCAGGAAGATGAACGTGCTCCAACAGGTAAAGCTTTCTATGGGGGACTAGGCCAGAGCTGAAAACACCAACAATTTAAAAGGAGTAAGTAAAGAGCATGAAAAAGTAGAGTTGTAGGGTGCACGGCTGGGGCTTCTGGCTCGTGCTCAGACAAGGGGCTGCTCCTGAAGATGAAGGGGCTTTGGCTCATGTCCTTGTGCCACAGAGGTTTCCCGGGCAAATAAATAGTGGCTGGGCAGCAGGTGGCATGCCGCAGGTGGCATGGGAAGCTTCTTCCTTCTCTTGCCTTTGGGAAAGGTCTTTTCCAGAGGTTCACTCCTCGGGCACCTTTATTTGCTCGAGCAGATATGTTTGTGCTTGGCACTGCGGGCACTGAGCTGGATGTGACACAGCCCTCTCTCACCCCGCGGTGGGCACTGCTGTCTTTCAGGCTTGTGCCGTGCTCCTGGGCCAGGGGCTGGTGTGTCTCCAGGAGGGCAAAGATCCTTATTTCAACTAATTCAAAAATGCAGGTCTCCACCTGGACACAGACCAGCGCTCCCCTGCTCAAAGAGGCCAGGCAGCTGGAGCTGCTGCCCCTCTCCGCAGGCAGGAGACCCCCACACCACGCTGCGATCTCTGTGGCGCTTGGAAGCACCCAGCAGAGCTTCAGTAGGCGTTGCACGGGCAGTGCTGCTGTGTTTGAGAGCTTCCCTGCCCCTTCCTCCTGCTGCTCTGCCTCATGACACGTGTCTCTGGTGTCAGAAAGTGCAGGATCCCGTTTCCACATGGAGATGGAATGGTTCTGGGGCTGTCTGAGGAAATGCACCATGACAGCAAGCACCAGGCAGGACTGGG